TCCCTAAAATACCTTCAACAGAACAGAACAACAGCATTGAAAAATTCAATCTAAGGAGACTATGCTGTCCACGGTTAAGGCGTACCCGATCTTGCCTTCTCCCTCCCCTGGTATTGGGGCTTTTTCCATCTTTAAATCTATCACGCAGCTGGAGTTCACTGAGTTAAATAGGGCCTTTCTTTACCCTGCCTAGTGATACAATGAATTCACTCATCACTTGCCAGTTTTCAAGCCGTACAAGGTCTAGGGTAGGGGTTCCAGATCTCAAACCTGAGGTCCATGGATAGATTCAAAGGAACCTGTGAACTTAGATTAGGAAAATATGGCATCTTTATTTTCACTAACCTGTAAGTGAAATGTTAGCATTTCCTTTAATTATTTGAAGCCATCATTCTGAGAAGGGGGCCAAAGTTTTCACTAGACTGCCAAAGAGGTCCAGGACACAGAAACAGGCTAAGAACCCCTACTCTAGAATGGTAGATGTGTGTGCGGGAGTTACCTGGGTAAAAAAGTTAATTCAAGGAAACTGTGTGTGCCTCTGACCTCTAGGTGGCCCTATAATCTAAGAATCGTGGAGCTTCGGTACTTTGGTTTTGTACATCCATAATAACAGGAAAGCTTCCGATGGCAGAGGAAAAGGATATGCAGTGAATGAGTGGGACACACCACCAGCAGGCCTACAAAAGTGGAAATACCTACAGTAACCACTGATTTGGGACGAAGCAGCCTAAATTTCTGGAGAGGTTCCATTCCCTCCCCGATTTGGGGGCTAGGAGGGCTGTCTTGGTCAATAAAGCACCCTCTCTCAGCCACAGACAGCTCAGTGCCAGAGGTGAGGGTCGCTGCTAGTCCGAGGTCGAAATTTAAAAACATTTCTCATTTCTACCTGGATTCTTAGGCCCTTTCAGCCAACATATGTTGCTGCATTTAATAACATATCAGTAGAACCTCCCCATGAGCATTCCCAAGACGAAGTAGAAAGGCAGAGAAATGGACTGGACTCCCACCAATGGTGACTCATTTTTTATATTTTATTGGGTAAATGATTTAAAAAGTAATAACAATAGTGTTAAAACTACTACAATATCTTTCCACAGCCATCTCACAGACCCACAGATAACCTATATTTTTTGTCTTTTTGCACATTTTAACCTTTTAAAAGCCATACTTATGTTAACATGCCCATTTCAACAGTTTCTTCACACTAATAGCAATTAAATGTGGAAGGAAGGAGGATCTAGTTAAAATGGAGGGGGGTTAGTTATTGTAATAATAATATAATTCATAATCAAGTTACTAAGAAAGGAAAGCAGAGGCTACTCCAGGCAGCCCTCGCTCTGAAGGTCTCACCATTGCATTACCGAGAATTCATTATGCTGGTGACTGAGTCAAAGAAATTTTTTTTTCCTAACATACAAAACACAAAAATAACTTAGATAGAAACTAGATCCAAATATTTCAAAAAGAATCAGCTTTGATATACAAAAACAGTCATAGGTTGTTACAAAAGCGTTTTCTCAGTGCGTTCATGTACCAGCGCAGTTTAGCGGGTCCAGAGCAAAGTAAGAGGTTTTTTTTTTTCTCTTTTGAAATAGCGATAAAAAACATGGAAAACACATCTTTGTATATAAAGAATCATTGCTGGTCTTGAGAATAATGTAATCAGAAACCCTTAAATCTGAGAGGCACACAATAGGTTTTTTTTTTTTTTAATGAAAGGAAAGTCACCAGTTTATTTAATTGGAGGATGTACTCACACTCCTCAAATAAACTTAATTCAATTAACATCACTAGAAAAAATCAGTTAGAAACTGTACAAAAATAAAAAAGTTAACACGCTGAATCCTGCAAGGTTTTTGTAAGGACTGGAAGGCGGGCTGTGGGAGCAGCATTTGGGCATGGCTGGAGGTGTCTTTGGTTTGATCTAACACACGAGAGATGTAACCTATTCTGAATGACAGCTTCAAAAGCCTGCATATTTGAAGACAAAAGAGACTAATAGAACAAACTTCTGGTGTTCTGGGAGAAGAGGCTGGATGTGTTTCTGGGACAATCATGAGTGCTTTGGAGGGGGTTGGGTGGGAGAGGAAGACTTGGGGCCCCCTCCCAAGCTGCAGTTGGCCTCATTGGGGGGGGGGGTTCGGGGCAGGCTGGGGAGAGAAGCAGCACAAGCTGGTGCAGTCAGAAGGCCACTTGGAGGAGGACTAGAAAAGAGCTTTTCAGTTAAAGACTGAGACCTGGTCAGTCTGATTGAAGGACAAAGAAGCCCTTCCAGAAATGGAAGCCTTTTGAGAAATATCCAAGTAAAATTTTTTTTCCAAGGGAAAAAACACTACACAGATGCATTTCTATAAGTAAAAATGAAACTAATCTAATTAACATTTAAAAGGGGCCGTGTAAACTTTGTGCTACTTAAATGGAGTTCAAGTATTATTTCTGGGCTGTTTAAAGAGAATTAAAATGACCCCATGTCTGGGTGATCACAAGTGCAATACAAGTTTGTGTTTCCAAACAAATAAACCTACCACTGGTTACAACACAACTCAGGGAATCAAAATCTCTGAGTTTGAAAATACATGCTACATTTCTATGTGTCCCAAGTTAATTCAAATGACAAAGTTCAGAAGATATCGGGAAAGGTGAACTGGGCCCAGCATTGATTTGGTTAAAGTACACCATACAGTCTGGATAATGACCTTTCTGCTACAGTCTTGAAGCCAAAAGCTACAAAGAGACAACAATTAATTGTGCATTATACTGTATCTAAAAGGAGAGAAACTATCCTTTTCCTCCAGGCCATGGAGTATTGCTGACCTCGTCCTCTGAAGCCGGCAGGATGGTTACATCATCAGTATATTATTATTACACTGGTAAGAAATTCTGTATAACATCTGCATATATGAAGGATTTTAAAAAATCTGATATGATTTTAGAGTCCGCATGACCAGTCACGTGACCTGTTCCAGGTTGATTAGCACCTTAAATACACACACATAGAATAGATCTTTTCTTAAAAAACTTCTAACAATAAGCTCATCCCAAAAGGAGGAGCAGGCTGTATTGAGATGATGGACAACATGGGTTTCACAACAATATTGGTCTTTTTTTTTTCTTTTTCTTTTTTTTTGTCTTTTTTTTGCAGCAGACATCATCATTCAGCTTGTGCTCAGTTTCCCTATAAGGGCATAAAAAAAGTTTCCACTGAAAGGCGATGCTGTTCTGAAATGCTTCCAAGTAGAAACAGGACGACACTACCAAAGTTGCTGCTAAAACCCAATAGCTAATGCTTGCCTGGCAAATCTCTAAGCTTAATATATAGACTTGGCGACTGAGAGGCCCTTTCCGGCCCCCAGTTGGCTTCTGAATTAAGGCATCATAACTGAAATTACTACCTAGACAATGGATGCTGTGGATGAAGGAAAACTGATAACCTTCTAAGGACCACCATCAAGCCCCAAAGCCCCCAGAGGTGCTTGGCCACAGTGGTGAGCAGCAACAATTTAGCCAATTATCTTAGAAAATAGAGACATAATTCCCATTCTGGGCTAGAAGGATGCCACCGCTTAGAACAAATGGATGGCTTTTAAGGACTGGATATTTGATTTCATTTCTTATCTCTTTAGAATATATATTTTGTTTTATACCTATATTCATAATTTACATATTGGTTTCTTGCTTGAAAAACATTCATCTCCACTTATTCTAAATGAAGAAAATTCTTTTGTTTTCTAGGGTTTGTCACTTTCCTGGCAATGTACTTACCTCCCAAAGGCATGAAGAGGTTTTCTTTATGTACATTTAAGGGAAGACTGGCCTCCCCCCAATAATTGGGGGTCTTCTACACGTGCCTTAACTAAATCTCATTTCTGTTACTACAGCTTTAAAAATTAAAATCTTATCAACACAGTAATTACGTTTCTCTTGCGAGTGTGTAGTGCAGCAAGTGATTCAAGCTATTTCCTAGTAATTCTAAAACTCCAGCACTGTCTCTGGAACAGACACAAGTAGCTGAAGCCATGGCATAACTAACTCGATAATCATGACCATTTATCTCAGCTTTGCCCAATCATGATTTAATGCAACCTGAAACTAACACATTTAAGTGAAAAGACATCAGCAGAGTGTCGCTTTTTGGCTGTTTGCTTCAAAACCAACAGCAACCAAAAGGGACCTCGAGGTTTAAAAAAATCTAAAAGTAAGGAAATTGTCTAGTACATGGATTAATCTAGAGAAACCATATAGTGCTACAAGTGATTTCTCGAAATTGCCTTTTTCTACTCTGCCCACCCTACGATTCCACTTTCCCAAGTCAAAGGCACTAAAAATCTACATCTGCTCTCTTCCTAAGATTCAATGCTCTTCAAAGTGATTCCTGTAACATATTTGAAAGGTAGTTTTTTTTTTCCTTATTTACAGATGATGTTTCTGTTTGTTAATTGACTCAGTGACACAATTAGGACATTTTTTCCTATTTATAACTGGCACACAGGCATAAACGATTTCTGTGACAAACCTTAATGGGGACTTCTCTGCTTTAGAGATTAGCTCTCTGAAATTCATATACATTTTGACTATATGAAAAATATCACTCTGGGGGGGAAAGACTTATACAGACTAAGTCTTCATAAGAAAGTCAACCCTGAAGGCAGAATTCAGGGTAAATTGTAAATACCTGAATCTGATATGCATTGTTCCCTAGCCAAACAAATTCAACCACTATAAGTGTGTGTGTATATATATATATATATATACACACACACACACACACACACACACTTACACACACACATATACATACACATATACATATGTATGTACACATACATATATACACATATATGTACACATACATATATACATATATATGTACACATACATATACACATATATGTACACATACATATATACATATATGTACGCATGCATATATATGAATATGTATGTGTATATGTGTGTATACATATGTAAAAGAATCACAAAACTTTAAATGCTTCCTTCCATCCACAGTAAAAAACAAAAACAAGCTTTGATATAATGAAGTAAAATTTGATATAATATTATAGAAAAAGAAAAAAAGATTATATATGCTGCAAAAAAAAAGTCCATGACCTAAAAGAATAAAAATAATTATGGGATGAACTTAAGAAAAGCATTTTTTCCCACCCGTTGCCACAATGAGCTTAACCAATTAAGGAGAAGTCTCACTATGGCAACGGAAACTATCATCATAAAATGGTACAGTAATAGAGATAGCTAGACCAAGAAGGGGGAGGGTCTCCTGGAAAGAGGTCTGCAGAGAGGTCCAGGGACTGGTCATGTGGCTCAGTGTCAGGAGTAATGGTTGTAAGGTGGCAGAGGGTGTCCAATGCCATTCTGGAAGTGATGATGCTGACGGTGGGCAACATACTCCGAGTAGCTCATGGTCATCTTCTCACTGCGGTACCTGGAAGAAGGAAGAAGAGGGAAAAGATTTACCCAAAGAAGCACCTGATACAGAGCTCGAGAATCACAGAGCCAGAAGGGCTATTCGTGACTGCTTAGTTGGCCTTGATTTTACACATTGGTAAATGGTGGGCTAGAGACAGGGTGAGACTTGCTTACTGAAGGTCATGCAGCTTGTCCATACTGAGAGGAACCTAAACTACCTATCAATCTAGTGTTCTTTCTACTATCCCACTCCCCCAAATTGTCTTTTATTGGTAGATCAATCAATCAATATTTATTAAGCACCTACTATGTGCCAGGCATTATGCTAAACTCTGGGAATAAAAAAGGAAGCAAAAGACAGACCCTGCCCTCAAGGAGCTCACAATCTAATGGGATGGAAAAGACGCCGTGAATTATCTTCCCAAACTTTTTCATGTTTTACTTTTTTCCCCCCTCAAGAGTGTAGGTGTTTATATGGAGAACTCTTGGCGTAGATAACAGTAGAGGGAGTTTCCCTCTACTACTGCAGAATGACATTTCTTCCATATCTTCTACTGAGTTGCCTAGGGGCAATTGAGAGGTGAAGCGACTTTCTTATAATCACATGATTTATCTTTTCCAGAAGTGGGTCTTCCTGACTCTAAGAATTATAATATTTTATATTAAAAGTGATTATTTCTAACAACATTTTGTTTTTGTGAATTTAGAACTCTGGATTCAGATTTTTTTCTTATTTGTACTGTATCCACAGACCAGAATGGACAACTTACTTCAAAATTCCTAGCCTTAGCTGGATTTGACCTAACTTCAAAGGAATAGCTTTGAATGGTGTTCAAACTGATCTTTGAAGGAATTTGCCCAGAACTCAAAAACGAAACTTAAAAAAACTTGACTGTATCTTTACATTTACAGTGAGAAGACACAAGCTCCAACCAGTGCTCCCTCTCATATTAAGTGACTGAACTGAACTCACAGCTGTTCTTCTCTTTTGACTGCTGTAGACTTCTTATGGGAACAATGTGTCTCTATAGCCTTCCTGGGAACTCAATTACAGTAAAAAAGAATATAAACTCCTCGAGGGCAGGGGTTTTATTTTCAAGATTATATATTTATTTATACTAGATGTATTGTGTCTAGTCCTGAGTGAGATAAGGTGGGAGAAGAAAAAATAGAAATCAAACAAAACAAATGGAAAAATATAATTTTTTCCTTAACAAGTGTCAGTTTCATGAAAACCTACTGGCCTGCATGCCCTGACCGACAATTCAAAGTCAGGGAGTACAAGGAGCTGGTAAGCTCTCCTCAAAGATCAGGGCTTCCTGCTGCTTTCCTGACTCTTCCTAAGTCCCTTCCCATTCCTGAGATGCTCTAGATCATCGCCCTCCCTCTGTCTGAGTGGCCTTCTACAAATCCTTCTGCTTTGTGGCCTCCCCAACTCTGTCTTCTGCCCTGCAGTAAAAGTAAGAAGATCAGGGTCTCCTGGGTCTGGTGGGCTGGCAGAGTGAAATTCAGGTGTTCTGTAGGTCCAAGTCAGAATGAGTTGGGTCCTGTTTGCACTAATTCAATCTAAAAGTCAGTTTCTATCCAAAAGTCAAAATCGTAACTCAAAGCTAAAGATATGAAAAAAATTGAGTGGTTTGACTTCTAATCAATTAATGGTCCCTTGTATTGGCCCCTCTCCTACCCAAGTATGACCCTGTAACTCATTCCCACTCTGCACTGGGAAAGAAAAACAGAGAGCATAAAGAACAAAACATGTAGCAACACTTAAGGCATGAAAACAGCCAAGCCTCGGATCTCAAGCCCCAAGCCACAGAGTTCATGGTCCTTAGGCAGGTACCTGGTCAGTTTGATGCTTTTCCTGAAGTCACTTGTAATTGTAGCTTTGTAGCCTCCTTTTCTCAGTAAGGAATCTATGGTCTGAATGTGGTCCCATCCTGTTGAAAATGAACCAGATAATGAATCAAACACATGGACAAATACTCCTTTCAACCACCTCATGCCTAAAAAATGCCCAAGGGCTACAGGGGATGTCATCCTGAAGAAACAAGAGTGCCCTCATACTCCTTAATCTCTACCTAGTCACAGACCAAGCACAGCTGTCGTGAGAGATGCCAGTCTCGCGTGAAAAGGCAGAAACTAGGTATACAAGAATCTATGGTAAACTCAAAGTGCTTTCCTCTCCTCCCTCCACATTTAGAAATGGGGTAGGGAAGGGGAGAATGTTGTATGCAGGAAAGTTAACTAACTTAGCGACATCTAGACTCATGGAGGGTCAAACACAGATTATGCAAAAGTGGGGAGCATTTTTCTTGGTCCTGAAGAGTGCTATATTGGTCTGAATATAGGCTGCATCCTGAAAAGGATCACTTTGAAAGGAAAAAGCATATGTATAGCACTTTCTCTCTCTCTTACACTGAAAAACAATGATCTAAGAACACCGTATTTAAAAATTGACTGAATTTGGGAAAAATCAGTGCTTTTCCTAAACTACATAAGTTCACGCCATACTCAAATCTAAGGCACAAAGGCCAGTTAAGGAGACTCGAGCCAGGGAAACAGGGTGATTCAGAGCAGCAAACAAACACAAGAAGTCAGACTTTTGGCATGGGAGGATGACCCAACTAGGAAAGGTGGCTTATTCTTTTTCAGCTGTTCATTCTCCCCATTCCTAACTTATTGTACTTCGCTCCTTGAGCAGCTCCACAATCAAGAATGAGGCTGAGCCACCACTCATAAAATCTAGGGGATGGGCCGGTCCTCCCCTAACTTCTCCACTCCTGACACTGAACTTCACAATTTCTTTTTTTTTTTTTTTTGGCTAGGCAATGGGGTTAAATGACTTGCCCAAGGTCACACAGCTAGTGAATGTTATGTGTCTGAGGCCGCATTTGAACTCAGGATCTCCTGATGCCAGGGCTGGTGCTCTACCCACTGTGCCACCTAGCTGCCCCAAAGAGTGGTCTCTGGACCCCTGAAGTTCCCCAAAGGGGATTTTTTTTCTGTTTTTGGTGAGGCAATTGGGGTTAAGTGACTTGCCCAAGGTCACACAGCTAGTAAATGCTATATGTCTGAGGCTGGATTTGAACTTAGGTCCTCCTGACCTCAGGTCCAGAGCTCTATCCACTGTGTCACCTAGCTGCCCCTCACAGTTTCACCTCAGCAATAGATCTACGGTCTACAAGGAGGAAACAGAGCCCAAACAATGACAGCTCAGAACAGTTCCTCTTCTTCCCCGTCCCCAGCTATTCTAGCCTCAGAGGTATGGAAAGGCTTGCAGGTCTTTGTACTGGGATCTACTTCCCTAAGCACTCTGGAACAGGGATGTCCACAGGCCATAGCAAGGGGGCAGGGTGTGGTGAGGAGCAGGCCAGCAAAAGTAGCAGCCTCTCTGCCATTGTGACAACAATCACAGGGCATCTGGCTCAGCCCTGGGCCCTTCAAGCCATCTGTGAGGGCCCCTGGCAAAGCTGCAGCTAGTGCTTGTGGGAGGACCAGTGAGGATTAAATTGGGCTTTGTGCAAGCTAGATGAGGGAAAATACAGCCTATACTCAAACCAAATTGCTAAGGGTTTTTTCATGGCTTTTTTCCTAGTTCTTATATCTGACTTGTAAAGTCCGAGGCTCATTTGAGCTGTCTCTCTTAACAAACCCTCCAGTGCATAGTGAGGATTGCTCTGTAGTAACAGAAACTGCATGCTGGGAAGCACCTGGAACAGCCCCTCTTAACAGCTAGCAGTCTTCAAGGTTTTCTGGATTAATGCTCTCAAATTGGCAATTCTCACCTCAATTTTTTCCTTTACAAAACAAAGAAGGGAAAAGCAATTTATTTGGTGATCAGAAAAAAGCCTCAATATGTTTGGCAAATGTTTCTTGCTAAACCCCAAAGGCCATAGTAAATGTGGCCATTATAGGACCAGAATTTGGGAATTACATTTGGGAAAGAAAAATATTAGCAAACTAACAAGCTCAGGTAGCTGCTTTGCTGAAGCTAGAATTATATGGTGCAATGCTTCTTCACAAGGGCCTGCGTAAACTTTTTGTTGATAAAGAATTACTGACCAAGGGATAAAACCCTTGTCCTCCTGCTTCCATGCTTCTATGCAAACCATCCATATATTCTCAATGGACTGAAATAATGGAAAGTCAATATTCTTAATAGAGCTAGAATAAAAAAGGCACTATTCTGCTATTATGGTTTGCTCCAAGGAAATTAATTTGGATGTTTCAGGAACCATCTGGTGGAACAGTATATGTGTGTGTGTGTATGTTTACGTCTATATACACACACACACACACACACACACATACATAGACACAACAATATATACCCAAAGCTTTTTTTTTTTTTTGGCTAGGCAATGGGGTTAAGTGACTTGCCCAGGGTCACACAGCTAGTAAGTGTTATGTGTCTGAGATTGGATTTGAACTCAGGTCCTCCTGACTCCAGCACCGGTGCTCGATCCACTGCGCCACCTAGCTGCCCCAAAAGCTTTTTTTAATCACTAAAATTTTTGCACATCAAAAAAAAAAACCACTCCAAAACCAAAAGAAAATGGCACTTCTATGAGCAGCAACTTGCTACCCCCAAAACAGTTGGCTTTATAATGCAAAATTAACTTTTTTTTTCATTTTTCATTAAGGGTTTCTTAGTATACTGATACAACTTTTGTGTCATATAGTGCAAATCACTTATTTGATATAAAAAAATGAAGTGGCATTAAGAGATAAGAGCCATTCCTTACAATTTCATATTGACTCATCGTCAGACATCAGTGGAAGGTCAAATATTGCATTTTATATTTATGTATTTCTTTAAATTCTTCACTAGATCATATGAAATAAAGTACAACAATGACCTTGCTCCTTTGCGACCTCTGGTAGGTAGGTGGCCGTGCGTTTTGATCCTTTTTCATTGATGAACTCTATCCTAATGCCATGTACACCCACCTGAAAGAAACGGGCAGTTTTATTAATACATTCTTTTTCAAATAAACAAACAGCAAAGTTGAACAGTTAAGTAGCAAGAGTCTTGCCTCCTTTCGGGAGTCGGTCTTCCTTTTTTCCCCTCTCCATAGCTTGGGATTTGTTTCTGGGAGAGCCAGAATGATGGTTTTGGAAACTGAAAATTTCGTTCACCTAGGGTCCAGCGTGTGGTGTCTCACTGTATCTTGTTTTCAGCTGCATCTACCCTGAACCTTTCTATAAACACAGACTGTATAAAACTAGCTATCCTATAAACCTCTTAACTCAACAAAGGGAAACAAGCAAACTTTTGTTGATATAAACAACTATCATTGATGTGAATAATGTCTCACTAATAATCAATTAACATGAAAGCATTATTAAGGGCCTACTGTGTGCCAAGCACTGTCTTATACACATATAACTTGTGGCCCAGAACCCCAAACTCTGGGCTTACATGGCCAAGATTTGATCAGGGAAAGGGAAGCCTCACAAAATATTACTCTTTTGGGCTCAGTTTTACCCTATGCAAAAATTACCCTGAGAATATAAGATAATAAGCTGTGCTTAGGTCTCTACAGATGTTGGTCAAGGGGATCCTTCAGTTCCTTTGAAGGACCCATCTAACAATATTTCAGACAACATTATTTCACCCACTCAGAGGACTCCCAATTGCCCATTAATCAAAAACAGTTCTTTCCTCCTTCCCTCCCAGAGTGAAGTCTTCCAGAACCACAATCCCCCTGAAAAGAAACAGATTTGGGGTTACTGGAGAGTCAAACCCTCACCTCTTAGTAAATTTTCCAACTCCCCTAGGGAGCTCGACAGAACTCCAATCTAATAGCTCCACTCATAGGGTCTCCCCTGAAAGGAATCTGACATTTGGGGCTATCAGTGAGACAATGCCCTTCCCAGAGGATCTGCAATCTGACTGACACTGTGCCTCAGTCCCTTACTGGTCCCCTTTGGCTCTGGTTCCATATGATTGTACCTCTTCTCTCTGGAATGAGGCTGGCTCCCCCCAACTCTTGACATTTCCACAGAAGGCTAGGGGTCAGGAAATCTTGACATTACACTTTTGCTCTGGCTGCTTCCACCTCTCAAGTTCTCTCCCTCCACGTATTCTTCTCTCTGTGGCTGCCATCTCCAGGGCTAGCAGGTTCTGCCAATGCCTCTCTATGACTGGGTCCAAGGAACTTGACATTACATTACTGATCCCAGCTACTGCCATCTCCAGAGTTGAGGGGAGAGAGAGAGAGAGAGAGAGAGAGAGAGAGAGAGAGAGAGAGAGAGTGTGTGTGTGTGTGTGTGTGTGTGTGTGTGTGTGTGTGTGTATGTAAATATGCTTCCTCACCTATCCTCTTTAATAGGCCTGTGTAGTTCAGATATACAAATCACCCCTACCTCCATTGCCCTGGTCCTATGGAGGAGACATAAAATCAAAGTCCCAAACAGAGGGCTTATCTTCTAACCTCATTAAATTGCAAATGAATAATTCTGGTCACCCATATGTAAAGCAAATGAATTTGTGGCTTTGTCCCCAGGTTTCAAATCTTACATGAAATACTACATTCCTTAATGAAAACCCATATTTCAATATTCTTTGATTCTACCTATCACATGCTTTTTATGACTTAGCAGTCATTTAAAAATCTTTCTTGAGATGTGGACAAAAAACTCCCTCTAGTTTTAGATTAATTATTTGAGGAGACTGAGTGCCTGGCCTAGGATGGCATGGCCAGTACGCATCCCTGGCTGGACTTGAACCCGGGTGTTCTTGACTCCCAGGCCAGCTCTCACTTTCTCATATGGATGGTCGCCCTGTAGCCAAGGTGGGGAGGAGCCTCTCCAGACTTGACCAACCCGTAAGCAGTCTGTCACTGGGTCTATCTATACTCAGAGCCTTCCCATCTTGGTAGGAACCATCAGAGCTTGCCTTCTGCTGACAGAGCTTTCAAGAACTCAGAGTTATTTCTATACCAAGATGAGGTATCAGTGGACAGTGATGAGAAAAAAAAAAAGGAAATTTCATAGGCCATTAATAATGTCATAAGCTACTGAACATTTTATATTTATAAACAATGAGGAACTTCTGAAGACCTACTAACAGAAATATTTTGAAGTACTGTAAAAGTACAAATAAACAACCAACAGCTGCCCTCCTCCAAAAACCCAACTGTTTCCCCCCACCTACCACCCAACTCGGGGCTCTCCAGTTGGCTAGAGGGCCACATGGGGGTGCAGCAGAATGAACAGTAACAATTAGGCTTCTTTTAAAAATATGCTAACATTTCCACAGATCTTTACTTTTTGCATCAATAAAGACCTGAAGGCTGGGGGGAGATAGAGACAGAGGTGAGAAAATGAAAAAAACTTCCTTTTTCTTTTTTCTTTCTTTCTTTTTTTTGTTTTTTTTAGGCAATTGGGGTTAAGTGACTTGCCCAGGGTCACACAGCTAGTAAGTATCAAGTGGTTGGTCTGAAGCCGGATTTGAACTCAGGTCCTCCTGACTTCAGGGCCGGTGCTCGTTCCACTGCGCCACCTAGCTGCCCCCCAAAAAAACTTTGCATAGAAATTCCATTTCTTAGAAGCAAAACAAAGAAGTCCTAAGAAAACCCATTTCTTTTCCCCAGGCCTTTAGATATGGTCCCTTCCAACTGGATAATTCAATAAGATGATCTCTATCCATTTGGACCTAACAGATCTATCATTTTTTAATTTAATTTTTTTTTCACTCTAAGACTCTGCTCATTCTGAGCTTCAGCATTCCTGACACTATTCCTCCAGGATTGTCCTGCTTTTTTATTCATCTTCTATTATCTGCCCTCACATCTACCTTATTGCAGACAAACTTCCTAAAATTTAAATTGGCTGAGTAGGTGGCAGGGGGGCAGCTAGGTGGCGCTGCAAGGGACAGTGCACTGAGCCTGGAGCCAGGAAGATTCATCTACATGAATTCAAATCTGGCCTCAGACACTTACTAGCTGTGTGGCCTTGGGCAAATCACTTAACCCAGTTTGATTCAGTTTCCTCCTTTGTAAAAATGAGCTGGAGAAGAAATGGCAAACCACTCTAGTATCTTTGCCCAGAAAATCCCAAATAGGGTCACAGAGTCAGATACAACTGAAAAACAACTACACAAACAAAAAAAGGTGGCAGAGTAGATAGAATCCTAAGGCCTGCAGTTAGAATGACTTGAAATCCAAGCCAGCCTCAGACACTTACTAGCTGTGTGACCCTGGGCAAGCCACTCCTCCTGCCCAGGCCTTAGTTTCCTCCCCTGTAAAATGAGGGAGTTGGACTGGATGGCCTCTAAGGTCCCTTCCAGCTCGAGATCTCAGACCCTGTGATGAACTCTGTGTATGTCCACATCAGTCTCTTTAGACACCTCTCCCTTTACCTTCTTAGTGGAATTATTTCTTTTCACATCTTCAGAAGTTAATTCTCGAGGACTTCCAGTGCCTTCTGAGATAACTTCTCCTGAAGAATTTTAGACCATGAGATCCTACCAATTATTTCTCTGAAACTTTTGAAATCTGCTCTCCTAAAATTAAAGGCGTACTGCACCTGGCTTTCTTTACCTTCTCGATCTCAAATCCTAAAATACAGTAGTTACCTCCTCTTCCCTCAACAAGATTCTCATCATTTTTACCCCAGCAATCAGTACCTCCTTGTTGGCAAAAATGAAGTCCAAAAAACAGTTCCTCCCCCTGATTCCTCCACCTTTTGAAGAACAAAACAATCTTTAGTTGTGCCAGCAGATATCCAGATAATTGGACTGCTCCAGTAAATGCCTAGATGTCTCCTAACACTGTTCTATCACGTCTTTCTGACGTGCATGTAATCTGCTTCCCAAAGTCCTCACCTGTTTTCTCTTTCTGTTCTGGTAGTCTGTTATACATACTCTGATGACAGCAACACTGCTATTTCCACCTGCACTGATCTTCACCCAAATTCTCTCCACCTGACACTTTTCTGACCCACCCCTAGTTCCTGGCTTTCCTCATACATCTTCTTAACATACATGTAGTACTTTTAAACCTATATTGTCCTGATTTATTCAACAAGCCTGCAAACTTAGAATATCACATGAAACACCCTGACCCGGAGCCAGAAGTTTTAATGTTGTTATTGTTTAGTCATTTCAGTTCTGTCTGATTCTCTGTAGCCCTATTTGGAGTTTTCTTGGCAAAGATACTGGAGTGGTTTGCCATTCCCTTCTCCAGTCCATTTAACAGATGAGGAAACTGAGGCAGACAGCAGTTAAGTGACTTGCCCAGAGTCACACAGCTAGTAATTGTCTGAGGCCAGACTGGAACTCAGGAAGATGAGTCTTCCTGACTCCAGGCCCGGCACTCTATCCACTGCAGCGCCACCTAGCTGCTCCTGAAGTTTTAAGGGAGTCCATCTATTAAAATTCATTTTTGTACAACTGAATAACATGACAATTTCAGGAGCAGGTCAGACAAGAAAGCTGGGGTAAGCATATCTTCTGGCATCATAGCTCTTCAGTGACTTTGAAAAGGCAATTTCTCTTGTATGCAGCTACCAAGAAGGGCTTCCTCAATCTCTTCTTAATCTGTTTAAATTATCTGAATAGTTATTAAAGTTGTTTTCCAATAAAAAGAGTTCTCTCCTTCAAATGTCACAGTTCCTCAGGCGTGCAGCCTCAACTCTTCACTCTCACTCCCCAAGCATATCCATTCCATTTCTCCTTTCACAACATCTCCAGCATATGTCTTACACAACAACACAATCTCAGTTCATGCCCTTTAACCTCACATCTGGCTTGCTCTCATGCCTCAGGGCTCTGTCTTCCCCACTCCAACCCATTCTCTACTCAGTTGCCTAGAGTGCAGGTGTGACCATGTCACCCTCCTGCTCAAGGAGCTCCAGTGGCTCCTGAATACCAACTCCAGGATCAATTCGGAACCTCTCTTTGGGTTTTTAAAGACCTTCATAACTTGGCCGCTTCCTCCCTGTCT